CCATTTTGCTTGTGCATCTTCTGCATGAGTGGTACCACCACTCATCTATAATTGACTCCACGGTAGCACATATCCAAACATCGGTTTCCTACATTTATCAATTTCATCAATGCTTTTATTCAAATAGAGTTGGCACATATATAAATGTATTTATATTTACCTCGGCAGTAGCAAATAGTGAGTCAACAGCACTCACAACAACATCACCATCCGCCAACTCTTGAAGTTCAGATTTCACAATTATAGCACTCTTTGAAATTAAGCGGGCCCTTGAAAGTGGGCCGGCAGCAGCCCTGATAAGATTTAAAACAACATTTTTTTAATTGTCTATTATTATATAAAAAATTATTGAATATTAAATAAAATAATTGTATTTTTACCTGTTGACAAATTCCACAATGTCTGGAATATTTTGTCCAGTAATTAGCCTTGTGATATCCTTTGATGATGTAACTTGCACTTTTTCTATTAAGAAATTAAATAGAGTAAATATTTATAAATTTATTATAAAATTTGAAGACATTAACTTTTATATACCATCCCATTCTCTTAAATGCGCTAATTGAATTATCAAAGGCCAAGGATTGCCATTGTGGGCAAGCTGATTCTCATAGTTGAGGAATTGATCAACATATGTCCCCCATAGAGTGCAGGGCAGAACGTTTCCCCTAATTTCAATTCGAAAAAATTTATTATCATAGATAATAATGTAAATATTACATTATACTATTTAAAAGTTAATAATATGTGGGTGTATGTTCTTACTCTGGATCCATTAGTGAGAATGCTATCATGCGAGTTTGTACTCCTTTGACGTTCTTCATTTGAACGGGATTTATCTCGACCACCATTCCAAGGACATCTAAACATTTAGTAAATTAAATGTGAGAAAATATTATTAAACGTAAATAATAAAAAAAAAAAAATAAGTGAAAATTTAGTTACCAAATAGCATTGATTCGTCAATTTTCTCGATATCAATCAATGTGATGAACCTTCGAAAATCAAAACGAAAAATTGAAAAGTCACCCTTGTAGCTTATGTGTTCTGTTCTACCATGTAGTATAAGTCTGTATTGGGCAATGGTAGATCTATATATTCCGATGTTACTCTCAACTTGATAGTTTCGAAATGCATAGACAGCACCTTCTTCGAATTCATCCTTGAAAGTTGGGATGTTGATTGCTCTTACTATCCCAGTAATTCGACCGCCCTAAAAAAAACGAAAAATAAAATTAAGTATTGTAATTAACATGATGAGAAAAAAGGATAATCATTATTTTTTATTATGAATTAAACCTCATTGTCATGAAAGACAATTTCAAGAAGGTTCTTGTACTATGAGTATTGATTAGTCCTTAAGAAGACCCGAACCACCCTCAACTTGAGCATTGGCCTGTTGGTTCTTGTTATTTGCTTGATGTTTCCCCATGCTCTCGCCATTTTTTTGTTTTTATGTGAAATTGTTTTGTGAGATTTTTGTGTACCGTGATATGGGCTCCTAAGTTTATTTTATAGCCATGGGATGAGAGTAGATAACCATTGCATGATAAGATTAGTTACTCACGTTAATCTCTCTTGATAAGAATCACGTGATTTTTATTTTAGAGTTCCAATAAATTGAAATTCTAATGTCATGATAAGATTAGTAGTAGTAGTTTATCATATTGTTAACTCTAGTTATTTATCCACCGTAGGACTTGCTATGTGTTTTGTTTTTTGAATGAATGGCGTTGAATTCATATCTATATAATTCGGTCAATCCAAACACGTATGGACCCAATTTTTTATGATGATAAGATTAGTCAAAGTAGTTACGTAGTAGAGATTTTTTATGATGATAAGATTAGTCAAAGTAGGTACGTAGTAGAGATTTTTATGTGAGCATAACGTGATTTTAATTAGAGTTCCAATAAATTCAAACTCTAACATGATAAGATTAGTAATAGTAGTTTATCTGATAGTTAAAAATTTGATATGCCATTTCATAGTAATACGTAGAATAAATAATTCCATCTTTTAAGTCAAAATTTTATTTATAATAATTTATATATAACGCAAATTAATATAAATATTGTAATCAAAATATGTAATCATGTTTATGATATTCCATTATCATAAATTATTGTAAAATTACGCAACATAATTCCTTAAATGTACTTAATTTAGTTCACGTTATTATGGACCCAATTTTTTATGATGATAAAATTAGTGCAAAGTAGTTAAGGAGTGGTGATTTTTGTGTATTTTAATTTCAGAGTTCAAATAATTAGAATAAGTCATTCAATCTTTTACGTCAAAATTTTATTAATAATAATTTATATATAACACAAATTAATGTAAATATTATAATCAAAATTCGTATTCATATTTATGAAAATCCCCAATTGAATCCATAAATTATTGAAAAATCACGCAATATAATCCATTATAAACTTATGTTAATTCCGTAAATTTTATTTTATATAACCTTATGTTTGAAATATTTGGTAAAATTTGTATTAATTTATATCTTGTATCATGGAATTCTACCAATTATAAACTAATATAAAATAAAATGTTCAAATTTTAACATTCGTGCGACATTTAATAAAAAAAATAAAAATATTCAACCGAGTGAGTTTATTATATAATAACACTAAAATTTATTATAGAATTCCGAATTGAACGACATGGAATGAAATTACAATTCATAATAATCAAACTCTAAATATCATAAATATCTACTGCTCCTTGCTAATGTTGAGGGAAAATCTTCATTTTGAGGGAAAATTCCATCATATTTGATAACATGAGTTCTTCCATGAAGCACAAGTTTCCATTTGTTGGTTATGATATCCTTCTTCCCATGATTAAATTCAACGACATAGTTGTTGATCGCATACACCTCGCCTTCGTTCAGTACACCTTGAAATGTTTCCATATGTTTGGAACGTAATATGCCTTTAATGAATGTACCCTACAATATAAATTTATAAATATGAATTAAAATAATTTTTAAAATTGTATACATTTGATATTGCACATAAATATATTTACCTTTTCATCATGAAACAGTATATGGAATGCGTTCCAGCTCTCCTGTTAGTGATGCGTTTCAACTATTAGGACTGTTTTCAAGTGCAAAAAAGGGTTGTTTCCCCTACTCAAGGAATCGAGTGTATCGCAGACTGGCGGCAGCATTATATTATCGATATGTTCTTCGATGTATCTCTTTTTTTTTTATCTGTAAAATTTATATATGTTTTTTTTTCTACGCGTGAAGTTCTTTTTTCCTACNTTCAAGCGTGATTTTTTTAATCATTTTCGTGTATTAGATAGATTGAATATGAATTCTAAATATAGAATGTCAATGTTTTTTTTTTTTTTTGGTCAAAAGTTTCTAAAAAGGTATTTTAACAACAACCTTTTTATATATAGATAGATTTTGAATTGCCCATATTACCCTCAAAAGTTGTAACTTTAAAGGACATAAATGTAATTTGTGATTTTAAATTAGAGTTGATAATGATGATTTGTAACTCGTCCAAACACATTTAAATAGAAACTTGAATTGCCAATACTACCCTCAAGAAAAAGAAATGTTACTTTTGTTTGAAGGATATGAATGTAATATTATAATTTTTATTAAAAATCACATCACAACTACACACCTATCTTTTTCGTTTTTCATATACAATTAAACTTCACGGTTTTGTTATAAAGCCATCGGATGGTTCGGCTTATGGAGCCATCCATAGTAATCCACAAATGGTGTATTGACACGTGTCCTGCAATAAATACACATTGGACACATGTCAATAAATAAAGTTATGGATGGCTCCATAGAATTACTGTTAAACTTCATCATATACAATTATTTTGCATTCATATAAAATTTATATTAAGCTCATCCTATTATTATTCATCATCTACAAATATTAATTTATTTATGACAAGAGTATACATTCTCCCAGTTTGGAGCATCACCTTCTAAATTGTTGGTCCTTTTCAATCACAAATTTTGCAGATTAAGGTATACCACTAATTTATATGTCATCTAAATGTTTCTCAAATGAAATTGTTATTCAATATGACATTATGATTAATTTAAATTTTATCATATTGCTGCATGTCATTATTTTCTTATTTTGGATATTTTAGTAAAGTGACATTATAATTACTTTATGTTTTATCATACTTTCATTTTCATTATTTGTAGTGGGTATGACTTGTGAATTATAAAAAAATGAGAAAAGGTAGTATGATCCTTCTATATTTCAGGGTCCACTGAATATCCAAAATCTTTAATCAGTCTTTATTTATAAAAAACGATGAGAAAAGAATAGTGACTATCATTTCTAAAAAAAATATATATTATATTTTATAGTTTGTTTGTCTCACTTTTGTTGCATTTTTCGTCATTATTTTTCTTTTCTTTTTCCCCCATATTAGGTCTTTTAGTTGGTTTTTAGTTCGTTTTGTAGTTTATTTCGTGGTTCGCTCTATTTTAGTCTTTCGTGTGTTTTTCGTGTATTTTTTCAGTTTTTCTTTATTTATAGTGTGTAGGTCGGAAGTCTCGGGAGGACCGGATTTCAGGTGAAAGTTAGTCGAGCAAGGTTAATTAAATAGAGGAGTTCGTTGGGAACACACAGAAAAAAGTAGAATCGAATTCCGAGTTGAAACGAACCCAAATGGACCCAAGGAGCAAAGTCCAGCAGGCTGCCAGAGCCTTAGCGCCGCTAAGGCACCCAGGATAGCGGCGCTACCTATTCATACCGAGGGCTGAGGCGAACAGCTGAGGCACCTTAGCGGCGCTAAGGTCTGTTTTACAGCAGACTCAATTTTCTTGGATTTTGAATTGGAGAAGTGTTAAGATAAGACCTAGGGCTTATTTTCCTCCATTCTAGACTTTGTACTTTCGTTTTTCACCTCCAAAAACTCTCTTGCTCTTGTTATTTTCATTGGATTTCGATCTTGGGTAGTGAAAGCTCCAAGAATCGACATTAGGATTTGGATTACTCTCGTTTCTTTGACATTGGATCGTTTTAATCGTAAGCTTCCCTTTCATTTTATTTATGATTATGATGGCTTGGATTGATGTGTATGTTGATGTTGAATTAATGATGAGTAGCTAAATTCGTTAACTAGTGCTAGGGGATAATTATTCCGGTTTGATTAGTGTGATGTTGATTACTTAATCTATTCGAGTTGTGTTAATCCTAGGGTTGAATGACTGATCACCATTTTAATCCACTAAATCGATTCTTAGAATCGAAAGGGGAGAAATTGATCGACTTAGGCTCGTTTAGAGTAGACTTGTTCGGAGACGTATTGTCTACGTGCTAATTGATTCGATGATTGTTCGTTTATGTTTATTCTCTTGTTTCGTGAGGTATTGAGAATGAATCTTTAGATGAATTGGTTTTTTGAGCCCTTTAGCCGAGTAGTTGATTGCCCGTTAAATGTATTGAGAACTGAAAACGATTGTCCCCAACGCCCTAGTCCTTTTTACAATTATTTGAATCTTGTTCGAAGTTGTGTGATCGAAATTGTCTTGTTTGAGAATCAGTAGTGGTTCATCTAGTAGCTGATAATCGAAACCAATCAATTGAATTAGAGTGTTTAGGACTTGTTTTATCTTTTCGTGTGATTGAATAATCGTGCAAATTAATCCGGCCAATCTTCCTTGAGACATGACCCCTGTGTTCGAATCTTTCGATTCTACTTTGGTAAAAATTACTACAACATAGTTAATAAAGAAAAATTTACAAATATACTAGACGACTACCCATAGCTTCGCTTCACTCTAAAATTGCTGTCGTGGTAAAAGCAGTTCATATAACTTAACCAGTTAATGGATTTTGAGAAAAAGAAGGGAATAATATTTTATTGAAATAATTATTGATTGATATCTAATTTTTAGTTTATTATGTTATTTTGTGCACTTTTTTTGTGTATTTTATTTGGACGGTAAGAGATGTATATTATAATTAATAAATTAATATGGCATTAAAATAACTTAATATTAATATCTATTCGTTTTATTTTTATCGAAGTTTTGTGCATTTTATTTGGACAGTAATAGCCAACTAAAAGAGAATCATTAAACAAACTTATTCATATTAATTTATTATAATGTAATTGTCCTGTAAGCAACCAAAATAGAGTCACAACTATAAATTATAACTTATATATTTACTGGTTATTCATTTTATTCATTTAGTTTGAAACTCCAATTACCCTTTAGAAAAAGAAACGTAACTTTTGGATGTTTGCTGCATTTTTCATTATTGCTTTTGGATATTTTAATATTGACATTATAATTAATATTTATTTTATCGTGGTTTTATTTTCATTATTTATGGTGGATATTTCTCTTGTGAAATAGAGAAAAATTAGAAAAAGTAGTATGATGCTTCCACAATTTAGAAAAATTAGTAATACATATAAGAAATAATAAGTATTAAGCCAAATAATAAATATTTCTTTTAATTTGCAACACATATTCTTCAGAAATTACCTTCATCAATGTTTATTTTCATCACTATGTCTTTAAGTGTTTACTCATATCTATCTTTATAGTTATAAAATAAATTACATGTAATGAAGAGTTTATGATTTTCAAATTTTAAAAAATGAACTATAATTTAGGACCTTCTATCATTTCAATATTTAATATCATACATATGATTATTTGATATGTGATACATAATTAAAGTGTAGTCTATTTTCAACATTTGGAATGCATTAGTCTTTTAATTAAATGTGGGCAAATGAGTTATAAGTCATTATTATATTTTTAATGTTAATTACATTTGAATGGTCGTGAATGTTCACTGTCATTTTCAAAATTTCGTAAAAACACACTGAAGTATATATCATGTGTAGCAAGTTAATACGATAATAATTAATTTTTTATAAGTAAAATATAACTTTTATGTAATAAACAATCTACTTTCTTTTTTAAATTAATCAAAATTAAGAAAAATAAATTTAACTCATTTTTTCTCCGTGGGATTTAAATCCCTAGAATAATTATAGAATAATTAAAATGGATTGAAGTTCAATTTTGAAATAACTATCTTATAAGGGAGAATTGTTTCTTGAAAATTGAATTGCCGAAAATTTTATACGCTATAATTAATTTTTAAGGTTACTAATATGATTTTGTCACAACTGTTAGAGAGTTACAAATATTAATAGTTACAATTATTTTTTCAATCAATTTTTTTTTCATTCTACTTTTTTTTTTATCTACGATCTTATTAATATATTTTTTTTTTACCTATTCAATAATTTAATTTCTTTTTGTTGATATAGACGTTTAGATTATCTAAACAAATATATAAATTAGAAATAGAAAATCAAATAAAATTTACGAAAAATGTAGTTTTTAAATGTAAGAGAGAATATTACTTTAAGGTTTTGTAAGTAAAATATATTTTATTTTATAAGTGTAAAATATATAATGCACCAATAAAAGTATCATCTCTAATTTTCAAATATCATATTTTTCTATAGATAATTTTGTTATAGTAATAAAAAATTTAAAGAGGAACAATTCAGTGAATATGCATATGTCCAGCGTCTTGTGGGCGACCCAATCCGCATCCAGCGACGACCTAGATGTTCTAGCGTGGCCCAGGATGTCCAGTGCACACCAGACACGGCCCAACATGCGGAAAACTGGCCCAACGAGCACAAGACCTGTCCAGCTCGTACCAGGTGGCCCAGAACCGGTCCAGCTGCAATCCGAGGGGTTCGTGAAGTTCTGGTGAGTTCGGAAACATTTCGTTGAGTCCAGAAAAATAAAAAAAAAAAACGGTACGCTTTAAACCCTCGCTTTTAGTTCCGCTGCGCTTAGGGTTTAATTCGTAGATAATCCGTGACTTGCATATTATCGTGATCCTCATAGATCCCAACACTAAAAACAATCAACAAAACTTCTGAGGGTCCCAAAGTACCCAAAAATTACATATCAGAATGTATCCATTTAGTAAACACCCATAAAATAAAGACGTGATATTATGCATCACGCAAGCGTCATTTATCATAGCGTAAAGAGCCCCAAGCTCAAATATCACAGGCAAAAGTCTTCCATATTGTAAAATAAATGCGACTTCAGAACAACTATTTTCAGAACATGATCTAAACTCGGGGACCTCTTGTTGGTACCCAATTTAGCTGCAGTTCATAAATAAACAGGGGCTATAATATGTAATAAATAAATATGCAAATAGTAGGTTCTCCGAGCTGATTATTTAATATCAACCGAGTCCTCAAACGTCAAGATCGCCCGTACCCGAGTCGACCGGAATTTAATATCACCAGCCCGAAAAGAAGCCGTCTTCCGAGGATGCATACTACCGACAAGACAGACGTCTATCGAAGCTGTAAAATGTCATAATTGGGCCCCACACGGACACAACACATTAAAATATCATTTGTATTATTATATTTTCCATTATTCAATGACCACATATTTGGCCATATATACACTTGGCTAGGATCATTGTAAGGAGGATAGAATCCAACATTATCTAAAGNCTCCAAGAAGAGATATTATAGAGATCTCTCAAAAAACATGAATGAAAGAAAAACTTCATCTTTGATCTTTTGATTTTTGATTTTGATATAACAAAAATCGTATATTATTCTTGTGAACCGAGTACCAGGAGTAGTGTACAATTTACCCCTGTTGCTGACATTTTTGAGCATCAACACTACCATTGGATAATGCAGCAACACACCCTTTTGAAACATGTGAAATAAAACATATAATAGATTATGCTACAATAATATAATGGTTGATATAAAGTTTTACATTATATATACGTGACATCTGTAATTTTACACATCTACATAAACTTTATAATAAATGCATTTACACATTTATGTCATCTATGTAGTGCCCATTCGATTCTTATAATTTCTCGTACTTTATTCTATTTACCTGCATATTGATTGTGTTGTTTGCTTTTATTTTATGTGCATTGTTTGTCCTTATGTTATTTTATCTAATTGTTTTATTCTGTGTATTACTTGTATTTAATTTTATCGCTCGTCAAATCGTTGGAAATCCTTCGAGAAAATTTCGTAGAATATTTTCGAGCTTTTTTCCATGCGAGCCTTGATTTAATTACCCGGGTCAGTTTAATTGTATATTTCGACCCTTTTAAAACTCTTAAAACCGGCCCGTTTGTACTTGAGAAAAATCGGCCCAAATAGCTTGCAAATTCGGCCCGTTACACCTTAGACACAGGCCTGATACTATTCATTATTAAGGCCCTAATTTTCTTTTCTTCAGCCGCAACTCGTTTTTTTCCCCTTTCGTGTGTCATGCTTAGAACCTTTAGTTTGAATAAGGAGCATAGCAAGTCCTATGTGAAAGTTTTTTTAACTGGTTTCGGCCTTGAATTATATGAATGTTGCTGAACCTTTAGTGCCTGATATATGCTGAATTTAAGTGTATTTCAGAGCTGGTGAGCATTATTTTTCAGTCAATTGAAGTGTTTAAAAAACATGCGATTTGTGGTGAGGTTTTAGAATTAAGGAGCATATTGACATGTTGTAGTTTTGCCTTGAATTTTTGTCAAGTCCTGTTGAGCTTGTTCTTGGTGTATATGCTGTTAGTTTGTGCATATCAGAGGCTTTATGCTCAGTATGGATACGTGTTCAAGTGTGTTAAAATCTTGAATTAAGAGGCATGATGTTTTGATTTTATATCATGTGATTTAGGGCTTGTTTTGATTGATTGTTAAAGCCCCTGTTCAGAGTATTTTTAGGCTGAAAATCATGATTGTTGAAGTGGGAAATTTTCAGTCATAAATCAGTTCTTAAGCAGGCCTAAAGTGTTAAAAAAGAAAGAGCTAGAATGTTGTGCTTGGTGCCTTGTTTTGGTTTGATCTCGTGCTTGGTTGTGGTGCTATTATAATGGGGAGTTATGTGCTGTACTTATGCTGCTTGTATGTGTTGTTTGGGTGTTGTTATGTGTGTGCTTAGTTGTGTATTTGTTGGCCCTATCTTGGAGTTGGAAAAGAAGTGGAAATAAAATAGAGTTAGAAGTTTTGTATGCCTTGCCTGCTTATTTTATCTGCCTTATATGTTTAATTGTCCTTGTTTGTCCTTGCTTGTCTTTTCTTGTTTATTGCCGTCCTTAATAATAGATTTAAAAAAAAAAATTATTTTAAACTGTAGATTAAAGAGGAGTCGAGCCCTCATTCAGACCCACGTTCATTCTTTCAAACGCTTGCAGGGGGGTTTTAGGTTTATTTTGAACTGAACAGGCTTTTTATTGGCTTCTCATTGACAACAGCGATTGACGACGAAGACAGCAACCACCACTGTGCGACGCCGTCCATCACGTTTGAACCGCTCGAGTCGCCGTTCCCCCTCTGCCTCTTCCCTGTGAGTCTGAATTTACATTTTTTCTTTCTATCCATGAAGTAAAATTGGCTGGAAAATGCACATTTCTGCCATTTTTCCCATATATTCTCTTTTCTTTTAATTTTTTTCGAGTTAAATTGGTGATAATTCTGATATTCAGAGGTCTTACAAGGGAGAGAGGCGGTAAACTTACTTCGTTTACATGTTTCCAGCTGAAACACATGCATAAGTTCTATTAGAATTTTGAAGTTGCGAGCACCTATTGATTAGGGTTTTTGTAATAGAGGACCATGATATTACTTGATTGACACTTAATGCTGAGTAGATGATATTTGTGTAGAAAATTTTGCAGTAAAAGTCTAGAAAGGACAATTGGGATAGCCCAGTAATATCTACTTCAAACGAAGCTTTATTTTGGCGCTATTTACTCAGTTAAGTATGTGATTAATCCCGTGAACAAAACCTTAGTATTAACGTTGTGAGTATATCTACTTTATTTCTCTCTCTCTCTCCTAGGTAGGTAGTGAAAGAACACCGGAAATAGTCAAGAGTTTTGGTAAATAAATAACAATGACTAAGGCAAAGGAGGCTTTGCTTCCATCAATGATAAAGAATAAGGCGAAGAGATCTGAAGTCCATGCCAAGCTAAAGAACCAAAAGAAATTGGAGAAGAGGAAGAAGGCAAAGGCACGTGAAGCTGCTGAGAAACGGGCGCTGGAGCTAGGGGAGGAGCCTCTGGCCAAGAAAACTCCTCGCACGATCGAGAACACTCGTGAAGTCGACGAGACTGTGTGTATGCCTGATGATGAAGAGCTATTTGCCGGCAATGATGCAGATGAGTTCAGCCCTCTATTGAATCAGGAAATCATTCCTAAGGTCTTGATCACTACAGCCCGCTTCAATTCTACGGTATGTTTTCTTGTCTGAGTCACTCAAAATGAGATTTTTTTTTCCAAATAGTACTTCAGTTTCTCTCTCTCTCTCTCTCTCTCTCTCTCTCTCTCTCTCTCCGTTAATGATGGATTTTCCAATGGACTACAGAGAGGTCCTGCTTTTATTCAAGATATTCTCTCGATCATCCCCAACGCTCATTACTACAAGAGGGGAACCTATGACCTCAAAAAGGTTTGCCATCCTTTATTTTCACACATACTACACTTATATAGTATTGGAATTCATATATGAAGTTTATCCTCAGGAGAGTGTTCAATTCATTATACCTTTGTTCATCATGCAGATTGTAGAGTATGCAAAACATAAAGACTTCACGTCAGTCATAGTTGTCCATACCAACCGTCGGGAACCAGGTCAGTCCATGATACGATGCTAACCTGCAAATATAGGTCAAAAAAACATATGCTCTTCAGGAATAATGCAAATGAGATAGGCATATCTTCTTTTTATATTATGTAATGTATGTAATGTTTTTTTCTTTTTAGTGTCAAAAAATATTTAATGTATTTTTGTTTCAACCAGATATAAAGAGTTTTCTAAAACTTAATCATAAAAATCAACTTGGCGTATGGTTTGATTAAATTTGTATGACGAGTGGAGGTATTGGTGGTAGAGGAAAGATTATGGCATGTTATATTTGGTGCCCATGCTGCAAATTCTGTATTTTATATTTTATTTATTTTCTTATTTTTTACAACTCTCGTCTCCAGATGCTCTTTTAGTTATTGGGTTGCCCAATGGCCCTACTGCTCATTTCAAACTTTCTCGACTTGTTTTGCGGAAGGACATTAAGGTACAATTTCTCAGTTGGCTACTCATTGTTCCTTCTATTATAGTGCAGTCGCGAGGAAAGTGTGTTGATTGTTATTTATTTAATCTTGTGAGGTTCTACTGAATGTTGAGTTTTACCTTGATTCTATAAAATGCCATGTGTTTTCAACTGGATTGACCCATTTCCTTCCTAATGACCTCACAGAATCATGGAAATCCGACCAATCATCAGCCCGAATTAATTTTAACTAACTTCACTACACGGTTGGGACATCGTGTTGGCAGGTATTATAGAATCCGTTCTTACTCGGTTTGTTTTATGATTGATAAAAGAAGTGGGTAAATCATACTTCGTATGACTTTTTGCAACTTTCTAAAGTTTTCTTATAGCTTTCGCTTTTGACTTTTTCGATACCAGGAGTCTTTGCTTTTACTTGTTACACAGGTCCCTGTTTAGAAAGGCCTCCTCTCGATCCTAGGTTTCTCACAGTATGATGTTATAATTCAATGATAAACTTTACTTTCTTTGATATGTTGGAGTGGCTTTTTTCTGTAGGTGTTTAGATTGTCCTACTTGATAGAATCCATTACTCACCATCTGCATCTAGAATTGCTTTAGTCCTCACATCCAAATAATAAAATGCTGAACTCTAATACCAGTAAAGCAGTAGCAATGTCAGATTTTTACACCTGCTATTGTTTGGGGGTTTCTCATTTTGTGCCTATGTATTTGTGCTTAGAACATAAACAAATAAAACTAATTAATTCTTTATTTAATTTAGGCTAATACAATCACTGTTCCCACAAGACCCTAATTTTCGTGGTCGGCGTGTTGTTACATTTCACAATCAACGTGATTTCATATTTTTCCGCCATCACAGGTATGCACTCTTTCTCTATGCATTCTGCTCATTTTTTTTGCTGAAATTATGACCGAATGGCTTATTATATTTATTATTTGCTTGTGAAAGGTACATTTTTGAGACAAAGGAAAGCAAAGAGCCCGAAGCAAAAGGTAAAGGCAAAGCCGACAAGGTGGCTAAACCTCAAGAGAAAGTTATTACCCGTCTTCAGGTTCGTAACCTTTTCTTGCATATATTAATTTGTATTCGCTTGTTGCTTTTGGTTTGTACAAGACATTTTAAGCTTTCGTAAGGTTTGAAAATAAACAATTGTTGTAATTTATGTGGGAGCATAACAGTGTCAACTTGCAGGAATGTGGCCCTCGCTTTACGCTGAAGTTAATTAGTCTTCAGCATGGAACTTTTGATACAAAAGGAGGTGAATATGAATGGGTGCACAAGGTAATCTTTCAATCAGCGGCAAATTACCAAAAATGTTAGAGCATGTTTGACAAAAATTTTCACTCAAAATGGATTTTTTTGGTTAACTAGAGTTAATCTGGAAAAAGATTGTATGATTAGTTGTTAGTAGGATTTTTGATTTATATTAAAATAATATTTAAAATAAAATAATTAGAGTTGATTTGATGTTAAAGTAGATGTTATGTGTAAGAATGATTAGATGATATTATTTAATTATATTGATAATATTGAGGATATTGGAGTTGAATTTAAAGTTGAGTTATATTTTGAGTGAAAATTTTTGTATACTAACATGCTCTTACCCTCTCAGATTTTGTTTAATTTTAAGAATCTCTAACTAGCTAGGTTACAAAATTACAAATTCTTCCGAATTGCCCCTTTTCTAGTAAGTCTTGATCGATTTGTTTTGTGTCAACTATTGAGGTTGAACCAATTGTAGGATGTTTTTGTAACAGAGTCCTTTATATTTTTAACTACATGGGATTGGGACACAGGAGTATTCTGGTAGTTTTATATTTTTATATCTTGATACGAGTTGTTCATATTTGGCATTTCTTTCAATTGCAGCCTGAAATGGATACCAGTCGCAGGAGATTTTTCTTATGATTGAACGTCAGCTGTGAAAGAGAGAAAAACAAGGTTCCAAATTTTGTCTTGGCATATTTCTTATTTACGTCTGAGTGTATTCGAATATGCAACACCATGTACGAATACATCTTTATCACTTTATGTAGTGTACGATAACTTACTGTGAGATTGATTCAGTTAGGTCGCTTTTGGCTGGCCTCTATATGGCTTGATATCCTCTCTTGGTATCATATTCAACTGTAGGGCTTTTTTTTTTTTTTTGGTTCTTACTACCTTACCGAAAAGTTTGTATACTACATCTAGAGCAATTAAACGAAATGAGAAGCTTGAGATCTCGAGTTGGCTCGACTTATTAAGACTCAAATTCAATTTGTTAAGTTTAATAAATTGGTCGAATTCAAGTTCCATGTGCAACTTGTTTAGTTCACAAGCTTGGTTTGTTAAGCCTTGAAAAATGAGAATTTTTATGTAATTTGTTGATCTCTTAGCATAACTTGACTTGTTGAAATTTAAGTTTTACTTGGCAATTTGGTTAAACGAGCTGAGTTCAAATTCTATGAAAGGCTTGTTTAGGTCATCACTGAATTTGAGTGTCAAGAGTTGGAGTTTACGCTCAATTTTTTTACCACCATTGGCTAATGCGGCAACACGCCCTTTTGAAATATGTGAATACAATAATATAATGGTTAATATAAAGTTTGACACTATATACACGTGACAACATCTGTAATTTTACACATCACATAAACTTTATAATAAATGCATTTACACATTTATGTCATCTATTATATCATAAAATAATGTTAAAGTAGCTTTGTCCATGTATGGTTGATGTAATGTAATCCTCTCATATGTATATGATAGTGGCATATTGAAAAGAACATTTTTCCATTATACATATATATTCAAAGTTATTCCTTTGAAAATCAGTGCAAAATGATGTTTTTGGGACTGAAACCATACAAGGCCCAGCCCATGGGTTTAATTCATAATAATTACAAAACTCAAATGTATTAAAAGCACCTAGTGTGTGTATTTATGAGGGCCCAATTAGTTTCTACTATAACTCGTTCTTTCCTTTTTCCTCTTTCAAATTAGGGTTAGGGTTTGTTTAGCTTGACGCCCTTCTGTGAATCTCTCTAATTTATCTCTCATTCGATTTATCGCAATGGCGATTGGCTGTGACATGGGGAAAAGAGAGAAGAAGGTCAAAGCGCGGGAACATTCTGATGAAAATGTGATCATCGACCCTTCTAAGCCCGAGGACGATACGCGCTCGACCCGTGGAAGAAGGCGCGTGAATGAACGGTTGTCGAGATCGTGCAAAAGGGGCCCGCGCCAGCATAAATGGCCACACGCTTGGGAATCGCTCAATGCATAGACAAGCGATACGCGTCGGCAGGGTGATGAGGCGTACGGGAAAGGATCGCATGAAACGGGGCCGCGTGAGAGGATGCATGCGCGAGACGATGTAGCGGGTCAATGACGAGGACACAGCGAGAGGTTCGGACAGTTCGCGATGGATGGCCAGCGAATGGATCGGTTGCGCTAAGGATGACCGAGGCGAGGAACGCGATCGACGAGCTCGCGAGCGGATGGAGGTTAGCGTGGATTTCAATCGCGGGCAGTACGATACGCGAAGGGGCGAACATGCGCCGGGAGTGACGGGCGATGCGTGGGGTGCAAAGGGCGCGGGGAAGCGCGAGACCGCGAAGGACAAGGAATAGCGTGCCACCTAGGGCAAGTCCGGGAAGCGTGCGACGCAAGCAAGGCCAAGATCCATCTTGAAGGTTGAGAGACGATTTCCTTAGCATATTAGGATTATTAGTTTGCTTAGGAATTCGAATAAAGGCATGTGCCTAATTAGTTATTTGGTAAGTCTTTGATTCTAGATATTTAGTTACCTTAGGAGTTTAATTTATTTCCATGAGCTTAAAATTCTAGTTCTTATAGGATTAGACTTAGTTAGCCTCTATAAATAATTGTCATTCCATTCGATTTAAATATATATGGAAGTGATAAGAAAAATCGTTCGCAAGAGCAAAACTCGTGTGTTTAGACAAGGCCGATAGTGCGTGTTTATCATACTACTGTGTTCGAAAGAAGGCCTAGAGCGCCTTTCGTCACAACTTATCGTATTTATGCGAAGGCCGTTAGCGCGCGTTTATTCACAAATCGGGTTAAGATACACGATTATTCATCATTGGTGCTTTCATTGAGAGGTGTTGATCGTGTGTCTTATTTATTTTCGCTTTCTTTTCTTTCTTTTTAATTTTTCTTTTCGTGAGATTTAGTCGAGAGTCCAAATAAAAAAAAAAAGAGAAAAATCGAGCATGACGAATCGCGAGAGGTTAGATAAGTTGGGGGAGAGCATAAGGTCCATCGGCGCTGGACAACACGCCGCCAACGAGAACTTCGCGAAACTCGAGCTAATGGTGCACGACCTTGCCGCACAGCTCACGCGAGTCACACGGCGAACGCGGAGAGGCAACAGGTCAAGGTCGACAACGGAAAGGTCGAGTAGTCCCGAATCTGGCCGGGAGAGCGATGATCGACGGTCGAGGGGTTCAAGGGCGTCAAGTCGACTTGAAGATCGGAGGTTTGAGAGGCCAAAACTAACGCTGCCTACGTTTACGGGGACCGACCCAGCTGCGTGGTTAAGTCGAGCCTTGCAATACTTCAACATCAACGACGTGCCTAAGGCCGAGAGGGTCAGACTCGCCGCCTACTACTTTGACGGGGAAGCTAATATATGGTGGCAATGGATCTCTCAAATTTACAAAAACAAGGGCAAGCGCATACGTTGGAGGGATTTTGAAAAGGAGCTCATCACATGCTTTGGTTCGAGCGATTACTACGAGTATGACGAGGCCTTGTCTCGTATACGTCAAAGCGATAACCTCCTGGAGTACCAAAAGAAGTTTGAGCGCATCGATAGTCGCGTGCGCGATTGGCCCGAGAGTGCACTCGTGGGCGCTTTCATTAGAGGACTTAAGCCCGAGCTCGCTGCCAAAGTCCGTCTCGATAGGCCACGGTCGATGCGAGATGCGATGGAATCCACCTCATGCACAAGGACTACCTGGTTGCGGTACGCAAGGCAAACCGCGGAGACGGGTGCACCGAGCCACACCGCACGAGCATGTTCAATGAACCGTCACCACAAGCCGAGGACGAGAAAACTGCGGAGGTGACACGGACGCAAAGTTACATGAGGCGGCTTAATCCTGAGGAGATGCAAAGGCGACGCGATAAAGGGTTGTGTTTCACGTGCAATGAGCCGTTCATGCCCAGACATCGATGTAAGGGAAAGTAGGTCTATTTGCTCGAGTCATTCGACCCCGATGAGGAGCACGAACAAGGGGTGCACTTATACATAAATCCACACAAGGAGTCCATTCACATGACGAGGGGTAAGCGAGGACCTAGGATGATACATTTTGATGCAGAAATATTGGGACGGGAGGTCGACGTATTGGTCGATAGTGGATCGACCCTTAATTTCATCAACGAAGACTTGACCACAAAGCTGGAAATACCAATGACCGGTGTTGTTCCTTTTGGGGTAAGGGCTGGAAATGGTGAAGAACTTATGAGTTCCATGTTGTTAAAAAAGGTGCCAATGCACGTGCAAGGTGAGGACTTGAAAATCGACCTCTATGCTCTGCCATTATCTGGGCCCGATATGGTGCTAGGTGTACAATGGTTAGAGACTTTGGGGGCCGTGACTACTAATTATAAAAAAGGGACCATAGAGTTTGAGAGAGAAAAGAAGCGAATCAAATTCCAATCAAGCGACGAGGGAGCTGATCCGGTTGAACAAAAGAGCCTCGAGTTCATTATCCTTGAGGATAAAGAAATTCTCGAAAAGGACTGGAATGATGAAGATGTGGTCATCGACCCTTTCGAGCCCGAGGACGATACGCACTCGAGCCGTGGAAGAAGGCGCGTGAATGAACGTGACGATTGTCGAGATCGTGCAAAAGGGGCTCGCGCCAGCATAAATGGCCACGCGCGTGGGAATCGCCCAACGTGTAGACTAGCGATACGCGTCGGCAGAGTGACGAGGCGTACGAGAAAGGGTCGTGTGAAACGGGGCCGCGCGCGAGGATGCGCGCGCGAGACGATGCAGCGGGTCGATGACGAGGACACCGCGAGAGGTTCGGACAGTTAGCGAAGGATGGCTAGCGAATGGATCGGTCGTGCTAAGGACGACCGAGGCGAGGAACGTGATCGACGAGCTCGCAATCAGATGGAGGTTAGTGTGGATTTCAATCGCGGGCAGTACAATATGCGAAGGGGCGAACACGCGCCCGAAGTGACGGGCAATGTGTGGTGCGAAGGGCACGGGGAAGCGCGAGACCGTGAAGGACAAGGAATAGCGCGCCGCCTAGGGCAAGTCCGGGAAGCGTGCGATGCAATCAAGGCCAAGATCCATCTAGAAGGTTGAGAGTCGATTTCATTATCATATTAGGATTATTAGTTTGGTTAGGAATTCGAATAGAGGCATGTGCCTAATTAGTTATTTGGTAAGTCTTTGATTCTAGATATTTAGTTACCTTAGGAGTTTAATTTATTTCCATGAGCTTAGAATTCTAGTTCTTATAGGATTAGACTTAGTTAGCCTCTATAAATAATTGCCATTCCATTCTATTTAAATATATATGGAAGTAATAAGAAAAATCGTTCGCAAGAGCAAAACTCGTGCGTTTAGACAAGACCGATAGTGCGTGTTTATCATACAACTGTGTTCGAAAGAAGGTCTAGAGCGCCTTTCGTCACAATTTATTGTGTTTAAGCGAAGGCCGTTAGTGCGCGTTTTTCACAAACCGAGTCAAGATACACGATTATTCATCACATTCCTCATCGGAGGAAGATAGAAGAAAGAGAAAAGATCTCGTAGAAGCTATCGACAGCGTCGACGAGGCGAACGAGGACCTCAGCTTGAGAATTTTTTAGAATAACATGCAACGAGCAGTTAGAAAGGATCCCCGAGAAGATGGTGTTTTTGAAATAGTGATGGATTTTAAGGAGAAGAATAATAAGAAAAAGGAGAAAAGGAAAAAAAGGTAAAGGAAATCGGAACTCTTGAAATTTCAGTAAGTGTTGAATTTATATTTAATTAATTTGAAAAGTTGGTGTATTCTCAGTTTAATTAGTTGGTATTATATGTTGATGGTGAATTGATGGGATCGTACTATCATGTTGCAATGTTTGAGGGCTCGGGTGACATAGATACGGGTTTCAGAGAGTTCTGCAAGGACTTGGTAAGTGTAGTTAAGCTTGAAGTTGTTTCTCTTATAGTGTGTTTCATACTCTTGACTATTTTCGGTGTTCCTTCACTACCTATATAGGAGAGAGAGTAAGAGAGAGAGAGAGAGAGATAAAGTGGATATACTCAGAACGTTAATACTAAGGTATTTGTTCATGGGATTAATCACATACTTAACTGAGTAAATAGCGCCAAAGTAAAGTTTCGTTTGAAGTAGATATTATTGGGCAATCCCAATTGTCCTTTCTATACTTTTACTGCAAACTTTTCTATGAAAATATCATCTATTCAGCATTAAGCGTCAATGAAGTAATTTCATGGTACTCTATTACAAAAACCCTAATCAATAGGTGCTCGCAACTTCAAAATTCTAATAGAACTTATGCATATGTTTCAGCTCGAAACATGCAAACGAAGTAAGTTTACCGCCTCTCTTCCTTGTAAGACCTCTGAATATCAGAACTATCACCAATTTAACTCGAAAAAAGTAAAAGTAAAGAGAATATATGGGAAAAATGGCAAAAATGTGGATTTTCCAGCCAATTTTACTTCATGGATAAAAAGAAAAAAAAAAAAAGGTAAATTCAGACTCACAGGGAAGAGGCAGAGGGGGAACGGCGACTCGACTCAAACGTGATGGACGACGGCGCACAGTGGTGATTCGTCGTCAATCGCTGTTGTCAATGAGAAGCCAATCAAGCGTTTGCAGGGGGTTTTAGGTTTATTTTGAATTGAGCAGGCTTTTGATTGGCTTCTCATTGACAACAGCGATTGATGACGAAGCCAGCAACAACTACTGTGCGCCGCCGTTCATCACGTTTGAGGCGCTCGAGTCGCCGTTCCCCCTCTACCTCCTCCTTGTGAGTCTGAATTTACATTTCTTATTTCTATCCATGAAGTAAAATTGGATGGAAAATGCACATTTTTGCCATTTTCCCCATATATTCTCTTTACTTTTTTTTTTTTGAGTTAATTGGTGATAATTATGATATTCAGAGGTCTTACAAGGTAGAGAGGCGGTAAACTTACTTCGTTTCCATGTTTTCAGTTGAAACTTATGCATAATTTCTATTAGAATTTTGAAGTTGCGAACACCTATTGACTAGGGTTTTTGTAACAATGTACCATAATATTACTTGATTGATGCTTAATGCTGAATAGATGATATTTGCGTAGAAAAGTTTGCAGTGAAAGTCCAGAAAGGACAATTGGGATTGCCCAGCAATATCTACTTCAAACGAAGCTTTATTTTGGCGCTATTTACTCAGTTAAGTGTGTGATTAATCCCATGAGCAAATACTTTAGTATTAACATTGTGAGTATATCCACTTTATCTCTCTCTCTCTCTCTCTCTCTCTCTCTCCCCTATGTAGGGTAATGAAAGAACACCAGAAATAGTCAAGAGTATGAAACACACTATAAGATTAACAACTTCAAGCCTAACTACAATTACCAAGTCCCCGCAGAACTCTCTGAAACCCGTATCTATGTCACTCGAAACCTCAAACATTGCAACATGATAGTACGATCTCATCAATTCAGCCATCAAAGTACAGTACCAACTAATTAAACTGATAATATACCAACTTTTCAAATTAATTAAACATAAATTCAACGCTTACTGAAATTTCAAGAGTTTCGATTTCCTTTGTTTTTTTCTTTTTCTCCTTATTCTTCTACTTGAAATCCAACACTATTTCAGAAAAACCATCTTCTCGTGGATCCGCTGCATGGCTTTCTGAAAAATTCTCAAGCTGAGGGCCTCGTTCGCCTCGTCGTCGTTGTCGATAGCTTCTACTAGAATTTTCTCTTTCTTCTATCTTCCTCTGACGAGAAATGTTTCCACGCTTGGACATTCTTCTCTCTTTTCCCCATGTCTCAACCAATCGACGTTGCGATAAATCGAAGGACAGATAAATTAGAGAGATTCACAGGAGGGCGACAAACTAAACAACCCTAATTTGAAAGAGGGAAAGGGAAAGAACGAGTTATAGTTGAAACTAATTGGGCCCTCATAAATACACACACTAGGTGCTCTTAATACATTTGGATTTTGTAATTATTATGAATTAAACCCATGGGCTGGGCCTTTTATGGTTTTTGTCCCAAAAACATCATTTTGCACTAATTTTCAGAGGAACAACTTTGAATATATATAAATGAAAAATATTCTTTTCAATATGCCACTATCATATACATATGAGAGGATTACATTACACCAATCATACGTGGAAAAAGCTACTTTAACATTATTTTATGATATAATAGATGACATAAATGTGTAAATGCATTTATTATAAAGTTTATGTGATGTGTTAAATTACAGATGTTGTCACGTGCATATAATGTCAAACTTTATATCAACCATTATATTATTGTAGCATAATTTATTTCACATATTTCAAAAGGGCGTGTTGCTGCATTAGCCAATGGTGGTCAAGAAATTGAGCGTAAACTCCAACTCTTGATACTCAAATTTAGTGATGACCTAAACAAGCCTTTCATAGAATTAGAGCTCGGCTCGTTTAACCAAATTGCCAAGTAGAACTTGAATTTCAACAAGTCAAGTTATGTTAAGAGATCAACAAATTACATAAAAATTCTCATTTTTCAAGCCTTAACAAGCCAAGCTTGTGAACTAAACAAGTTGCACGTGGAACTTGAATTTGACCGGTTTATTAAAGTTAACAAATTGAATTTGAGACTTAATAAGCCGAGCCAACTCGAGGTCTCAAGCTTTTCATTTCGTTTAATAGCTCTAGATGTAGTATACAATTTTTTCGGTAAGGTAGTAAGGACAAAAACAAAAATAAAAAAAAAAATAAGCCCCTTCCTTGTTGACAAGGTTGTGGATGTTGGGTAAAAGAATCCGAACAGTTGAACATGATACCAAGAGAGGATATCAAGCCATATAGAGGTGAAGTGTGTGTGCAGTGTGTGAGAGACGGTTGGATTAGTATGTGAGAGATGGGTAGGGGGTGTGGTGGGTGACGTGAGTTAGGGTTAGTGGATTAAGTGGGTCCCATGAGTACTGTGTCTAATGACACATATACTCTTAATGAGAGGTCAAATACATATGTTTGACTGCGTGTTTGACCATTATTTAGTAAAATTTGACTTAACCATGACAACTAATACAATAGATCCAGTGGTACATATTCATTTTAATTTCTTTCACATTCATTCTCATTTGAGCGCATTTATATATATATATATATATATATATATATATATTACTTTTGCTGGAGTTTCTCAATTATAGATAACCAATCTCAGGTTCTCTTTAATACGAATTTGTTATAAATATATTCCATGTTGACATTAGTAAAATACTTATTGGGCTTGAAGCCCATTAGCTAGGGTGACTAGGGTTTAGGTTTCTATCTTGTACTTATAAAAGTGAAGACATCGATTAATAAGAGATATATTCTATCTACTCTTATTCTTCTGTTCTCTCTATTGTTACTATCTCCTTCTATGCTTTGTGCATGCTTTACTTGGATTGATGAATGTTTGAGGATTTCCGTTTACAACACGACTCTTATGTGTTCCATATTTTATAGTAATTCAATCACTAACTTTTAATTTATTTGATTTCAGTCTCATTTATTTATATTTTAATATATTCTTAATTTTTCACAATTTCTAGTAACATTTCCTTTGGAAAAATATATTTGAAAAGTATATAATTTATTTAACGTAAAGTTTATTTTCAATTTATATTTATACACACAATTTACGTTGATGTATACAATACGTGCATGGCAAGGGTATTAATATCAATTAAATCCTTAGTTTATTTTCAATGTATATTTATACACACAATTTACGCTGATGTATTCAATACGTGCATGGCAAGGGTACTAATAGGGTAGTACTATTTACCCCCCTCTCCCCTTTTTACTAGTCACCGCCCCCCTTGGACGATTTTGCCCTTTTTTTTCCAAACATCTCAGAGCAAAGTGTACGGTGAAATGTCGTCCAATTCCGAGGTACGAAAAACTTTTTGTCCGGCCGGCGAAACCGGATGACTTTTACCTTGTCCGACTGCCGGAACCGGACGATCCAAAAGGCGTCCGGCAGGCCGGTTCGGACGGCATAAAAGCCGTCCGAAAAGTTCGTCCGGTCGGACGGGCTATGTCCGAACCGGCCGGTCGGAAGCCTTAAAAATCGTCCGGCAGCGACGGCCGGTCGAGACCAGTCCGTCCGGTTCGACCGGCCGGACGAATTTTTTTTTTTTTTTAATTATTATGTTATATATTCGAAATAATTATGTTATAAATTGGACGTTAGATATTATCGTGTTAGGAGTTAGAAATGATTATGTTACATGTTAGACTTGATTATGTTATTAATTGGACATTAGATATTATCGTTTTATGAGTTTTAAAATTATTATGTTACATTTTAGACTTGATTATGCTATAAATTGGACGTTAGATATTATCGTGTTAGGAGTTAGAAATTATTATGTTACATGTTAGACTTGATTATGCTATAAATTGGACGTTAGATATTATCATGTTACGAGTTACAAATTATTATGTTACATGTTAGTCTTGGTTATGTTATAAATTGGACGTTAGATAGTATCGTGTTAGGAGTTACAAATTATTATGTTACATGTTATAGTTGATTATGTCATATAGTGGAAGTTAGATATTATCGTGTTAGGAGTTACAATTATTGTGTTACATGTTAGACTTCTGTTGACACCCGAGTTCGCCCCCCAAAGGAAACCGGACAAGGCAGCTTCGAGAGCCGAACCGGAAGACCCGGTCTAGCGCGTAGGTGCCGAACTGGACTCCGAAGTTTTTTGACCCTGACACCCCCGCGAGTCCGTCCGTTAGCCTGGCGTTTGCGACAGTTAAGTTCCGGTGCCGGCCTGATAAGTGACGATCTGGAGGAAGGCTCGCGAGAACCGGAGGAGCAAAAAGGAAACAGGAGCCGACCTGAGGTCTCAGAATGGATCTCCAATGAGGAATGCTGATCTCGGTAACAATATAATTATAATAATGCCACTTGGAGAGTAATCATTGGTGATTGGACGGGGCGTCCTAGCCTGCTGACCTACGTCCACTAGCCAAGACATAAAGCCTGTCAGCATTAAATGACCCCCATGTGTGCATTGAATGCCTGACAGGCAATGATGAGGAAAACCTCAAATCGCATTGAATTTTGAGGGAAGCGCCGGACTGTTCTGCAAGGACACTGTACGACAAGACCGTTGAACAGTACCTAAATAGTGCCACATTAAAGGCCACTATAAATAGCAACCCACTTCATTTAATTTTGGGTTGTTGAATCCCAACTGTCTCTACTCTCTCTACATTTTCTCTCTCTAAATTTGTAAGGAATTTGTGTAAGAATTTATAAGTATATCGCAAGTGCCGACCTCGTACGAGAGGCCGACCTCGTGATCCTTTAATAAAATCATAATTAAGCCGTATTTCTTTGTCTTTTCCTCATTACCTTTTTATTATTCAACTTTTTAACCGTTGACCGGAAACGCCCGTCAACAACTTCATTATGCTATAAAGTAGACGTTAGATAATATCATGTTATTGGTTACAAATTATTATGTTACATGTTAGAATTAATTATCTTATACATTAGAATGAATAGATTATAATTTAACATGTTTTAAAAATATAAATATTGTACTATATAGCAGGAGTCATGGGAAGATTTTGGAGGAGATGGTATTGATTACAGTCTCAGTTTCGATACCAATACATTATTTAAGAGTGATAAGGAGGCTATTGAAGCTGCAAAACACCAGGCAATACTGAATGGTTTCCTATTAGTAACTTCAAAACACAAAAAGAAAACAGTCAAGCTTTTGAAGTGCCATAGAGAAGAACGCTACAGAGGCAAAGGCGGAAATTCCAGAAAGACAAAAACGAATAAGTGCAATTGCGATTTTGAGATCAAAGTAAAAAAGGTGCCTGATGAGCCATACTGGAGGATCTGTAGATGTAGCAAGGAAGAGAAGGGCTACCATAACCATACCTTTGTTGTGTATCCTGAGGGTCATCGCCAGTTGAGCGGCCTCAGCGCTTCATCTAAGAATATTGTTCGTGATATGACGGACGCTCAGGTGGCCCTGGCAAAAATTATGGCCGCGCTGAAGGAAAAGAATCCAGGAGACAACGTTCATGTGCGACAGGTATATATATTTATATCTTGTATGATATGTTTTAATTTACTTTTTGTAGTTAATTATGATAATTAGTAATTTTTTTATATCTAAAAGTTATTGTAATAATTAATAAATTTTATTATATTTACTAATATATTATTATGATAGTTAATAATTTTTTTATCAAATAAATTAATTAACATACTTTTTTTATTTATTAATATAATAATTTTTTGTTTTAAATTATAATAATCATTATAATTAACGCTAATCGGTGACAGGCATATAACTTTAGAGATAAGCTGCGGAAAGAGAGTTTCGAGGGTAGAGACGTTCCTTCCCAGCTTATGCATTTGGGCATGAGCAGCGAGTATACAGTTTACGCAGAATCCGATCAAAACACGAAAGCGTTGACGCATATATTCATGTCCCATCCTGCATCGGTCAATCTATTCCGGACATATCACTGGTATGTTGGCATAGATTCCACGTACAAAACTAACAGGTATGTTACTTTATAAATACTTTATTAGTACGAATCTTAAATAGTGTGTTTGATTAAGTTAAGTTTTATGTGATTATATTTTTTGTCTTCTTGGTCTCATTTGCACAGGTACAAGATGCCGTTGGTCGAGATGATTGGGATGACGCCGTGCAAC